CTGTCGAAAGCGAGGATGGCGATGATCGCAGCGCATACCGCAAAGCGGGCTCGCCAGGCAGACATGCGGGAATTTATCGCGACGTAGTGAGGGCGGGGGTTACAGCTACAGTGGCTGTTTGATTTTTTGCATGTCCCGTTCTTGCGGTCGTGTTTTTTTTTCTTGTTCTGGCTACATCGAAGGAGGGTGAGGAGTAGACAGATCTAGCTTCCTCCTTCACCAATAGGTTGTGCTAGCAGGAGCTTCGCAAAAGTCTTACCGCCAAAAATCCATGGGCTTCATGTTCAGTGGTTGCTTTCGCTGTCGAGGAGTGATGTTGAGGTTGCGCGAAATGGTTTGATCCGTTTAAGGCCAGTGCCACGGCATTCTTGCCAACAATATATTGGACATCTATGAGGTGCATCCTTTGCGATATTCATGTGAAGGGTTTAAGTCAGGTTGTGCAAGTGTGCAGTACGTGCGCTGAGGTGAGTACAGCAACAAGGTGCAGCATGTGTGTCCCGTCCAGTTAACTTATTAAGCAAATCGACAGGGCAGGAACCACCCCTATCGTGGCACAGCAGTCTGCCCACGACGCCCATGCCATGATCTCACCATGTACGTTTCATGTGGTACTCTGTTAGCCCCGCAAAGCAAAGCGCTGCACTCTGAAATCACACAGGTCGTCAATTGTGCCGGTCCGGCACTATTGAGGGATTTTAAGACCCTGAATAGTGCCCCTTTGGCACTATTCAGGCATTCTGAAGAATAATGCCGGTGAAATTTTTGCGCACACCCCGGCACTAAACAGGGACCTGTACTGTAAGTAAATACAGTCGACCCCGCTTTAAGGAAACCAAAATAAAGGAAACTCCCCGGGTAAAGCAAACAATTTTTCGCCGAAACACAATACCCCGCAGAATGTAAAATATACGGGGGGGTCCATATTCTAGTCCGCGGACCCCCTTGAAGCAGGTTTTCAGCGTACCCTCGTCGCCAGCAGAGAGGTCTGCTGCTTCACCTGCTGTCTGCGGTATGCAAAGATTCGTTTCACCTACCGGTGAGTCCTCTGCACCTGGGTTAAAACGGTGTGAGGAACCCACGTGCACGATCACGAAGCTCGTGTCGGGTATACACACATGCCCGTGCGGTCGATGAGTGCACGCGTTTTGTGGTCGCGGCATCGGAAAGGAAGGCTACGGACAGCAGAGGGAGTGCACGGAATGTCAGAAGACAGCACCCGGAAGCAAGACCGGCAGCTCTAGCAGTCCCATGGAAGTGGATGCTGATGACGACCAGGAGAAAAGCAGGTGACTTGCTGGTGTACAGCAGCCCTTCGTAGCGGGGCAATCTTTTGCTGCTGTACAGAGCGGAGCGTCTACCTGCTGTAGTGCTGCACGCATCGGCCAAAATCTGATTGACCGTCAATCCAGGACATGTCAATGCACCGCCCTCTGTTCCTATTTGGCTTCATACTTTACACGCGACAAAGTGTAGCGTTGTTTTTGTACAAAATCTTGACTCCCTGTGCTGCGGCAAAAAAAAGACATGTGTAAAAACATGTGTAAAAACATGCGTAGAATATGTGTGACGACACACACACACACACGAAAATCGAAGGCGAAACAGCGAGACGGCGCCCGTGCTGGGATGGAATCGTACTTGTTCCTTCCCGGAAGTTCTCTCTGGCGCGTAGACTACATGTCCGTGCTGCTGTGATATTGCGTGCACGTGCTGCTCCGCGGAATACTTTTCGCACATCACAGGAGGTTCTTTGTTGTTGGTGCTGTGGGCATGAAGAATCATAAACCATTTCCTCTTTTTTATTGTAGAAAATTCTTGCGTTAGATGGTGTGTGCGCAAAGAAACACGAGGTTACCTTGTGTATGTATACGACAAGACGCTCGTATGTACCGGTGCACTCGTGTGTGCCGCTGCTGCGCAATAGTGGGCTGTGCTGCCCCAGCAAAACAAAGGTGTTCTACTAACATCTGCAATCAAAACTACACTCGTGACCACCTCATGGAGTCTGATTATTATCTCTTTTCGTTTCCACTACGTACCGCAGCACAGCACAGCAGCCGGCACGGAGCAAGAAGCGCGAAAGCGATGCAGGTGCGGGCGGAGGCGGTGGGGCGAGTGGCGGCGGCGGCGGCGGCGGCGGCGACGACATTGCCGCCGCGGCCGCCACCAAGAAGCGCAGGCGTCCACCCCCGGGCCGGACACTGGCAAAAACAAGCTCAACTTACGGCAGCGGCACGAGCTCGTCAAAGAGGTCCAAGATGGTGGTGGGGCTGAGGTCGCGGTAAAGTACGGCGTCAGCAAGGGGTACGCCACAAAGCTGATGATGCCCGACAACATCGCTAAGCTCAACAAGGCAGTCCAGATGGAGCTCAACCCGGAGGCCCGGCGCGTCCCGGAATCGGTGGAGGCGGAGTTGGAACAGCGTGTTCCCAAGTGGATCAAGATTGCGCGAGAGCGATTCATGGTCAGGGCTGACGTTGGACGCCGGGTCGGATAGATTGTGTGTTGATATGGTGGGTAGCTTATCAGTTGTACGTCCCTCGTTTGAGAATTTCCGTTTGCGTTTTGTTGGGTATGATTTTCGATCGCGTCAGTCCTGTCATGTCCCCACACATCATGGTACCGACCTGCCTTCAAAATCCTATGCACCTACAACTGCAGCCGCTGACGTCCGTTTCCTACTGCTGTTGCCGTTGATCTTCCCTCTCTACAATTTTGCAGACAAGAAAAATCGGGCTGAGCGGTACAATGATCCAACATCGGGCCGTGAAGTTCGCGTCCGAGATGGGCAGCAAGTTCGCTGCGAGCAACGGTTGGCTTCACCGCTTCCTCAAACGCTACCAGTTGAAGCACATCAACCTGCGCGGAGAAGCTGGCGACGTGGACCAGGAGAAGGCGCAGGAGAAGATTGCGCAGATTCGGAAGGAGCTGACGGAGTTTGACGTCGAGTTCATCGTCAACATGGACGAGACGCGGCTTTTCTACCGCTGTTTCCCGAGAGGCACGTACGTCACGAGGCAGGAGGACGCTGCTGGCGTCAACAGAAAAACCGCGCGGGGCTCGAAGGCCATGAAGGCCAAGGACCGGTGCACTGTGGTGGTCTGCTGCAATACAACCGGCTCGCTGATGGTGCCGCTGGCCGTCATCGGCACGGCGGCAAATCCGATGGTTTTCCGCAAGGTTCGCGAGCCACCTTGCCCCTACTACGCCCAGGCCAGCGCCTGACTCGATGCATCCCTCTGCCAGAGGTTGTTCGACGAGGTTTTCGTCCCGTTCGTCAAAAGCAAAACCGCGAGGAAGGTGGCCCTCATCTGGGACAACTGCCCCGGCCACAAGATCATCCACAACGACCCGCAGATCGTCATCATCTTCGTGCCGGCCCTCGTCACGTCCGTTTTTCAGCCGATGGACATGGGGGCCCTCTTCACCCTCAAGTGCCGGTACAAGACCGAGGTGGTGGTGAGGCTGTCGGACGTCATCGAGGACTGGGACACCGTTCGTGCGCGCAACATCCCCAGGTAGAAAGATGAGCTAGCCTGACGTTAGTTTACGCATTGATACTGATTTTTGTAAGAGAATCGTGGTGGTGGACACGTTTGTCGATGGCTCCCATTCAAAATAGAAAAACCTGCCGTTACCGGTCATCCATGCATGAAAAAAACAACATGCTCCCTCCTTCCCTCCTTGTACCCCGGCGACCCCGCGCTCTCCTCCTTTTTCAGGGGATGTCGGGGGCTGAGCGATGCAGGCCAGGCGCCAATGCTGGACGTCGCTGAGATTCGTACCCACAAGTGGGAAAGTTTCTCGGACCAGACTGCTGTCAGGTGCTGGCCCAAGGCCACCATCCGTCCCGAGGAGCACGAGAACGTCCTCAAGAGGAAGGACACGCGGCTCGCTGGAAAGGACATTATTGTGTGCTTGTGTCTGAATGGCGCTCCAGTAGAGAGTAACGCAGGAGAGCTTCTGCTTGCGGTCCCCCAGGGGTAAACAAGAGTCACCAGGTGAATTCGAAGTGTCCATCAGGTATTTTCCGTGCTTTGTGGTGGTGTTCGGCAATAAACAAATACATTCTCTCCGACTCCCAGCCTCTTTTTTTATTCCAACAATGCCCTGCCCAGGGCGCACCTTTTGACGCATGTACCACCACCATTGACCCCGGGGATGGTGCGTTCTGATCCCCTGAAGTTTAAGGNTTTGTGGTGGTGTTCGGCAATAAACAAATACATTCTCTCCGACTCCCAGCCTCTTTTTTTATTCCAACAATGCCCTGCCCAGGGCGCACCTTTTGACGCATGTACCACCACCATTGACCCCGGGGATGGTGCGTTCTGATCCCCTGAAGTTTAAGGAAACTTCCCCGCGTTAAGGAAACATTTTTCGAAGCAACACTATTATATGTTTCTTGAAAGCGGGGTCGACTGTACCTCGAAAAAAAAAAAAAAAGCGTGATCTGTGCGAGCATGGTCGGTGTTTTCGCGTGCACGTGGACCGGACGCCGGCGGAGGGAGTTGATACTTATCGTACATAAGTTTACCGTGTGGAGTTTCGGGTTGTCTGCTAGGCGGTATGTGCATTTCTACCTGAAAGCTTAGAGGGCAGCACGGTGGCACGGGCTGGCACGCGAAACCCTGAGGTCCCGACAGGTCAAGAACCAGCTTTCGGGAAGAGCGTGGTGTGCTTTCGGTGGGCGGGTAGAAAGACTTAAGCATGCATCCGGACCGCACGGCTGCTGCTACGCAGTACACTACGTTGCCACGCAAATCACAAATCTGCGTCCATCTGCAGCAGCACCACTATACGTCAGAGAACGCTCACCTCGCGCTTCGACATCCAGGGTAGGCTTACTGCTCTCCGGCTGCTGCTGCTGTCCCTCTCCCTGCATTATTTTGGTCGACGTCCAAACCGTGGCAACCGCGGATCTACCTGGTCTCGCGGCGAGCACGCCAATGACACACAACGTCGCCACCCGCATCCTGAACATCCTCACGCGCGACGTGTGTGTGCGGTGAGCTGTGTTTCCGGCCCCCAAGTCAGCCCCGCAGCACCACAAGATACGTCCTAAACAACCTTTTCCGAGAGCACGGAGGGAGAAGAGGTGACCGAGAGCACGGAGGGAGAAGAGGTGAAGCGTACGAGCACATGATGTGTGTTATTGCGCCGCGCCAAAAAACGCTTTCGCGGAAATTTCCAGCGACAAGGGGGGACCGCGGTGAAGAAAAAGGAGGGAGGTGGGGGGTGTACTTCGTTGCCAGTCGCACTGCTCTTGTGCTGCACCGCCTGCGCCCGACAACCGCCAACACGAATGGACGCATGGCGTGCTGCAGTCGCCAGACACAAATCAGTGCGCTCCGCACGTTCCCTACAGTGATCTCGCCCGACCACACTCCATCCTCGTGGCATAAACTGCTGTAAATCCAACTACCGGAAAGCCACCCCGCAGATGATGATAATTAAAGAGAAAGATGAACCATTTGGCAAATAGTCTAGACTAGACCATTTCTACTGCTGTCATTTACATCGTAAAAGTATCTCCTCTTCAACTTACCAATGACAATCCTGATGGTATCCTATATGCGTTCGTAAGACTCAGCCTAAGCTTGCTAAAATACTACTGCGTTGATGTCCGCTTGTAAAAGCTGAAATCCAACAAATGCTTTGATCCATGCTACATCTCCGTGTTGGAAAAGCCCTTTCATCTCCGTTCATGATAACATCTTACCCTATTCTACGCAAATCTGTCACATCTACTCTCAAACAAGACGCCAACTTCAAACGAAAACGCGTTCTACGATGCGTCTACACTCCATCCCCATATCATTGGCGTTGACTGGTCCGAGGTCGATCTTGTTCGCCTGTTTTCGGCGTCTTGACGCCCGCGCAATGCGAGCTTGTACCTCTGCACTCGCCGAGATATGGCCACCTGTGTAGCCACCGAAACGATCTGAAGAAGTCGTTCCTTGAAGACTCCTTTCAGAGCCATCGTTCCTCCGTCCCTTCCTCCCACGGCATGTGTCGCAAGTTCATCGATGAACTCGTAACCCTCCTCTCCAAGGCGGCCAAAGCTTTCCACGGCTAAGGTAGACTATTCTATAGTTTTTATTTAAATTTATCACAATTTGTGAACGCTAAGAAGGTGGAGCGTTCGTGGCACGGTGCGGGGGTGGTCGCTGCCGCCCGCGATTGTGCTCGGGGGACAGAAACACCAGAGCACCAGTGGACCCGAACCCCCATAGAAGGCGAAGGGCGACAATAAATAGCCAGGTTGGGGTTGCTGTTGCTGCAGTTCCTAGGGCATGCGTTCGTTGCATGTCTTGTTTTTATTTCAACAGCAGGCTCTTCAAAATAAAAGTATCGTGGCATCCGTTGCGCCTTGCGCGTTTTTCTCGGGGGGGCTTGCCTGTTCGGGATAGGGAAAATTGGGAAGGGTTTTCGCCCTTGCTGCTGCTGCAGTTGCTAGGGCGTGCGTTGCGTGGTTTGTTTTTATTTCAACAGCAAGCAGCAGGCTCTTCAAAAAAGTATCGTGGCATCCGTTGCGCCTTGCGCGTTTTTTTCGGCGGGGCTTGCTTGTTCGGGGTAGGGAAAATAGGGAAGGGGTTTTCGCCCTTGCTGCTGCTGCTGCTGCAGTTGCTAGGGCATGCGTTGCATGTGTGTGTGTTTTCTATTTCACCAGCAGGCTCTTCAAAAAAAAGTATCGTGGCATCCATTGCACCGTGCTGCCCGTTTTTTTCGGGGGGGCTTTGCCTGTTCGGGATAGGGAAAATTGGGAATGAATGGGTTTTCTTCGCCCTTCCTCCTTGCCGCTGCTGCAGTTGCTAGGGCGTGCGTTGCATGTTTTTTTTTTTTCAGCAGCAGCAGGCTCTTCAAAAAAAGATCGTGGCATCGGTTGCGCCTTGCGCGTTTTTTTCGGAGGGCTTGCTTGTTCGGTCGGGGCAGGGAAAAATGGGAATGGGTTTTGGCCCTTGCTGCTGCTGCTGCTGCAGTTGCTAGGGCATGCGTTCCATCCATCCATGTGTTTTTTTTTTATTTTTTCCAGGGTAGGTGTAGTCCTTGGGAAAATTCCCGCGGTTTTTTTCCCGTCGTGTAGGTCGGTCCCGGTATCCCGCGGAATACTGTCATATTTCGCAATACCGTGAACCGCCACAAGTGGTACCGTCAAAAAAAACGAAGTACCGTCAACCGCCAAAGAAGTACCGTCGTTTTTTTTGCAAAAAAAGCCGCCGAAAATGTACCGTCAAATAACGGAGTACGGTCAACCGCCAAAAAAAGTGGTACCGTCATATTGCGGTACTGTACCGTCAAAACAGTACCTGCGGTACCGTCAAAAAAGTACCGTAAAAATAACGGAGTACCGTCAACCGCGAAAAAAGTACCGTTATATTGCGATACCGTCAAAAAGTATCGAGAGGAGTCCGCCAGCATCATTTGCTGCTGGTGGTCATTTTTTTATTTGTTGACGTGTCGAGAGAGGAACTAACTGCAGTTCAACGTTCAACTCCGGCATCCTGTGTTTTTTGTCGTTTTTTTCTGCTCTTTCTTTTTTCTTTGTTTGACTTCGTTTGGTTCTATCGAGCTGGTTTGTTGCTTTTCGTTAGAACCTGTTTTCTGCTTTGTGGCCTTTGGCGTTGATGGTCGCAAGACC